GCCAATTATGACTCAAAATTGCACATAGATAAAATGGGCAAATCAAGCCCAGTAAATCAGCGTGTATCCAGTCTCTTTTCAGGTGCAAATTAGGAATCAAAATTTGCATATAAATAAAGTGGGCAAATCAAGCCCAGCAAATCAGCGTATATCCTGTCTCTTATCAGGGCCAAATTAGGACTCAAAATTACACATAGATGAAACGGGCAAATCAAGCCCAGTAAATCAGCATGTATCCAGTCTCTTTTCAGGTGCAAATTAGGACTCAAAATTTGCACTTAAATAAAGCGGGCAAATAAAGCCCAGTAAATCAGTGTGTATCCAGTCTCTTATCAGGGGTAGATTGCTGCCCGCAATTGCACAGCGGTTCCTTTTCCAATCTCAGGCCAAACCCCTCCTTACCTCGAACACCATCTATGACGCTATTCGTGTCGCCGAGCAGCCTGTGATTCCTGTAACTCAGGCGCCAGTGATCTGTCTCCGATCGATTCAAGCAACACACCTAGCCCCCACTGGAAACGCTCCAACCGGTTGTCCCGCCACCGCCAAGGCGCAGGAGTCAGCAGTTGTTGCACGGCCAGTCTGGAGGTGGGCGGCGAACGCCTGGCTCACCGTTCTCTTCCCTCCTTCCTCCCGAGTCACTCCTCTTAACCCAACTAGTCGTTCGATCCTACTCAGACGCTGGCGCGGACTCAGCACACCGAGCACACCGGATGGGTTCCCCCACTGTTCTCCTCACTACTCTCCGCTGCCCCCTGTGCTCAATCGAGCTTTCCTGTGGACTGGGTACATCTAGCCCACCTCCTCAGTCCTTCCTCCAATCTGAATCCATGACGCACCACTCCCCCAGACTTTAGCGGATGCGTTGCACGCCCGTACCGGTTCGTGGTCCTTGCCCCGCCTTGACTAGCGAAGTGGGCTGGGTACACCTCGCTCACTCCCACCGAGTCCCCCTCTGTGTCTTCGTCCAGCCGCTGGCGCTGCTATATTGCCCTCTGGTGGCTGCACGGGTGCCACCGGAGAGCATCAGTCCTCGGAAGTAGGCCTTCGCCTGTATCAGCGGTACCAAGTTTTAGGCCCGGATCACGGAGCCTGCGCCATATTAAAATTGAGTAAAAATGGCGTGACTCTTCCAATAACTTCCCCAAAAAAACAAGCCTACCCGAAGATTGTCATCACGCAATTACCCTTCCTGCACAAAGATTTCAGCGGTCCGTGCTAGGCCGGAATTCGGGCCGCAGTTCCGCATCAGGAAAAACTCATGTCAAGCCGTCTTTCTACCGCACTAGTGTCGACCTTGTACCAGGGTACATCCCCATCAAACTGAGAAGCCGTAGTTATTGCAGAGCAAGCCGAAGTTGTCCCAACCAGTCACGGACCCAAGGTTCCACCCCGGTATCATGTCCAACCCAACCCAATAAGTGTGTCAATCCGGCTAGTCGCCGCTTCCGTGGCTGTATCGAGCTCTAACAACTCATTCCAAATGCTGCCCCCAGAGCCGCATCGACGCTGTTTGAGTGAAACATGGTCCCGGAGCGGAGTTAAGTACTGTACCAAGAAACATCAGCGTCGAACTGTTCAGTCCCTTGCCTGTTCCGTTTTAACGTCGAATACCATGGAATGCAACAAAAAAAATTGTATCTGTCCCGAACCAGATTGTCGAGCCCGAAACGAACCAGGAGATGATGCAGTGGCGTGTACCACCCCGTTGCCAAACCAATACCGGATCTGAAACATGTCGCAGCGCATGTACCATCCCGATGCCGTACCAATACCGAACTTGAAACATGTCGCAGCCAAACGTGTGCTTCACCGCGGTGATAGTTCCGAGCCCGTCCCGAACCATATATACCGAACCGGAACGGTGATCACACCGACGCAAAAAGCGTCGCGGGGCACAATTAAACAACATAGCGGTAACATTCCGCGTCTGTCCATCCCGCACTCATAGTACACATGTTAAAGTAAGGTTGGAAATCAGGGAAATCAGGTAAGCCATGGGTCAAAATTCCAGTCATCGCAAAATAGTGGAAATCGTCAGAATTAGTGTAAATTAATAATCCGGGGGTAATTCCGATTACGGATAAATGGAGCAAAATTACGCTGACCTTCCGATAATCATAACTTCTTTCTTCCTCCTTATCTTTTTATTTCTTTCTCTTATTTCTTGATTCGGTTATCAAAAATAATAAAAATAAGGGCAATTCTGTCGAAAATAAATCCCGACGAAATCCAATGAAATAACGTAAATTCTTTATTTCTTTTCTCTTTTATTGCTTTTGATCGTTTTCCGTGTTTTTAATTTTTATTGTCAGAAACATCAATAATTGAGGTTGATCACTTTAAAATTTTAATATCAAAAATTTTAAATAAATCAATGAATATTTCGGTTTTTCTCCTCTTTTCTTTTGTTTTTAATTCTTTTACCCACTTTTAATTTTAACATTAAATTTAACTAAATGCGGGGCCACGTCCTCGTGTCCGTTGGACACCGCTCGTCAAGGCTTATCGTCAATTAACCGTCCCGCAGCCAGTCGTTTCGAGAACGGCCTAGAGCGGGCGGAAATGAGGTAGACAATAAGGTAGCTGCCAGGGCGGCAAAGTGGTAATCCCTCTCGTCAATTTTGAGGGCTAGTCTCGATGGTTGAGACATCCGAAATTTAGAGGTGACCTGACTACCCCTAATTTCTCCCAGCCGGTCGGACAAGACTCCCGACCGATTTCCTCTCAGACAACTTTTCTACGGGTCAATCTCCTGGTATTAGGGCGAGCAATTGGCTTTCGGTCGCCCGACAACGTGGCAAGATCGCCATGTGGCAAGATCCCCACCTCCGCCTCCCTCTTCTGCTTCTCCCCACTTCCGCTTCTCCCCGCTTCTCCCCGGTTGTCGTCGCTTCTCCCCGCTTCTCCCCGCTTCGGCTTCAGGCTCCGCTGCTCTCTGCTTCGGGCTCCACTTCTCGCCGCTTCCGCTTCCGCGTGTGGCAAGTTCGCCACCTCCCCCTCTGCTTCGGCCTGTGGCAAGTTCGCCACGTGGCAACTTCGCTACCTCCACTTCCGCTTCCTGATCCCGATCCCGATCCTGATCCCCTCCGCCTGCCTCCGCCCACCTCTGGCAACCTTCCCCCACCTCCGCCGACCTTCGCTCCACCTGCCCATCTCCGCCCACCTCCGCCCACCTCGGCCCATCTGCGGTCCACGTGGCCATCTCCTCTACACCCGCTCAACTCCGTTTTGGCCATCTTCGCTTTATTGATTGATTGATTGATTGGTTGATTTGTTGATTTGTTGATTGATTGATTGATTGATTGATTGATTGATTGATTGATTGATTGACTGATTGATTGGTTGCTCCTCCTTCCGGCCCCTCCGCTGCTTTTCCCAGTCTTACGACTCACCCCATACTTCCGCCATCCCCCGCACTTCCGCCCATCTTCGCACCTCCGCCTTCCCCGCTTTCAATCAATCAATCAATCAATCAATCAATCAATTTCGATTGATTGATTGATTGATTGATTGATTGATTAATTGAAAAAAAAAAATTATTGAAAGAAAAAAAGAAAAAGGACGGGGGCGCCCCACCTCCGGCGCTCACCCCTCCCCCTGCGTATGCTCCGCTGACCTCTGTCCACCTCCGCGGCCCCACCCACTTCTGCTCGACTCACATCTGCAGCTCCAACCATCTCCGCGGCTCCTCCTACCTCCGCGGCTCCACCCACCTATGCTCGACTCACCTTCGCGGCTTCACACACATCCGCGGTTCCTTCCACCTACGCGGCTCCACCCACCTGCGGGGCTCCACGCATGTCCGCCATCCCCCACACCTCGACGCTTCGCACGTCTACCTTCCCCGCTTTCAATCAATCGCTCAATCAATCGCTCAATCAATCAATCAATCAATCAATCAATCAATCGATCAATCAATCAATCGATCAATCAATCGAAATTAATCAATTTCGATTGATTGATCTATTGATTGATCTATTGATTGATCTATTGATTGATCTATTGATTGATCAATTGATTGATCTATTGATTGATCGATTGATTGATTGATTGATTGATTGAAAAAAAAAAAAAAAACTTATAAAAAAATCAACCAATCAACCCACCAATCAACCAACCAATCAATCAACCAATCAAGAACTAGACCGGTTAATTGGTTTATTGATCGATTGATTGATTGATTGATTGATTGATTGATTGATTGATTGACTTATTGATTTAGTAAATGATTGACACGTAGCGAGGTCGGT